TAGTGGGAGGGACAAAAACTTGTTCCACCATCCAAAGCTGGAGGCCTGGACTCGGGTGGCTTGTGAACCAAGGGGCTTAGGTAAGTCCGGCGTTCCTTGTCCTCAGCTGCTTCCTGGTGCCACCCAGGAGTCCGTATGTCAGCGGGTGGTCTCGGGTCAGACGGCCTCACCTTCCCAGGGAAGCAAAGGAGACTCAGAGAAGGCCCCTCTGACCAAAGTTAGACGACACAATGAAGGCCACTGCTCAGTGCTGCCTGCTGTCTCCAGGGGCCCGGTCAAAGCCAAAAGCCTCTGGAAGCGCCCTGAGCCAGCCTACCTGTGTTCAAGTCCTGGTTCTGCTCCTAACACTTGGAGTGCGGGAAACGAGTTAAGTCGGCTCGCGTGAATTGCGCGTACTCCGCGGGAGCCGTCTTTAACTCGGTTCATATAGATTTGCGGTGGAGTGCGGGAAACGTGTAAACTCGGGCCGATTGTAACTGCGTATTACCAAATATTTGTTTGTAATCCACCCTTTTGGTGGATGGAACAAAACCAAAAGACAGAGCCATCTTATATTTTGGCGGGAAATTCACCCGCACTCCAAGTGCTAACAAGCCCGTGTGCCTCAGTTTCCTCTATAAAGTGGGTCGAGTTCATCTCCACTCAAAGGGTGGTTGAGAGGATTAAATGAGTTCATACTTGGAGAATGTTTAGAATGGCTCCTGGCACCTAGTAAGCATGTAAGTTTGGGGCTAGTTCTTTTATCACCCCTGCTCTTGTGTGTGTGTCTGTGGGGTGCGTGTGGTCCAGTCCCGCAGTCCCTCACCGCCTTCCCCCTGCTCGGCTGGAAGGCCACCTCCCTTCCCTGCACTGACAGAATAACCTCCTGGCCGCAGGATTGGACCTGACGCACTGTCACGTAGCATCAGCATCTGAGCTGCTGCTTCCCTGACAGCTCAGGGCTGGGAAGGAAGGGAAGAGGAAGGTGGAGGGAGTGGTCCCACTTCTGAGCTGGGGTCAGAGCGACCTGCTTGAGATGAGGACAGAGAAGCTGCTGAGAAGGGGCATTCTTGCACAGGGAGGAGCCCTCCCCTCCACGACCCAGGGCTGTCACTTGCAGAGCCTCAGGAGTACCAGTGGCCCTGTGACAGTCAGAGTGACCCTGCAGAGTGGTATGGGGAAGGGGTGGGGGGCCCAGAACCCCCCAGGGCCGAGGTCCTGCTGGTGTGCATGAGAATCGCCGGAGCGATTGTGTTACTTTCTCGGGACCTTTAGAACATCCTACTTTGGTTGGCATGCCATGGGGCCCAGGCACCTGCATTTTTAATAAGCTCCCCAGTTGCTCCGATGCCTGCCAGAAGTTGAGAGCCACTGGATCAGAAGCACTTAAGAGCACTCGTCCCCACACCTCCCAGAAGTAGGAGGGTCCCAGGGGCCAGCCCAGGGCCACAAGTGCCTGTGGTGACTCCCACATTCACTCGCCCCGGGTGACCCACTTGCCTCAAAGTCCCGTTCCTGGTATCCTTTCTGACTTCGCTTCCTCCTCCCCTCCTCCCCTCTGCTGGCCACACGCAGGTCTGGGCACACTACGTGGAGCAGCCTGTGGACGAGGTGCCTCCCGTGCCGGAGGAGAAGGAGCGCTCAGCCACCTATAAGCCGGTGTTTGTGACCGAGATCACTGATGACCTGCACTTCTACGTGCAGGATGTGGAGACAGGTGAGTGCTCAGGCCCAGCCCAGGCAGCGCTGCCTCCAGGGCCCTCCCCTACTGCCCCGCCACCGGGCCCCAGCACTGCTCATTGCATGACCTGCAAGTGCGCCCTGGCGTGGGCGGGCTGAGCAGGTCCTCTGAGGACTGGTGAGGTAACCAGTTTTGTCTGGGTGGTGCTCTGAGACTCTTAGGTAATTGTTTTGCTCCAGGCACCCCTGGCTGAGCTGGGCAGGAGGATTTGTAGCCCTCAGAGCCTATCAGGAAGCAGTGAACAGATTGTCTCTATGTGGTCAGGAAGCAAGAACTGGCATCTCCCAGCCCGCTCCCCGTCAGCTTCCTGGGAAGGCAGGTGGAGGAGGGGAGTGTGGGCTTGTCTCCGCTGGGGTTTCTCTAGAGGTTACCACAGCCCTGAATGTTAGCCATTTGCCATGGAAACAGGAGGCACACCAGGGGAAGTCCTACCCAGGCGGTCTTTCTAAAGGACTCTCCATCCTCCTCCTTCCTGCCTTCCAGTGCTGTGCCCTGTGGCCAGGGTCCCCGAGGCAGAGACCTCAACCCAGCCTCCCACCTCCCCTCCCTGTAACCTGACCTCCCTCTCATTGCCACCCAGGGCAGAGGAAAGGGCTCTCAGAGCCGCCTCTAGGGCCCAGGAGCCTGATCCTTGCAAGGCCGAGAGGACCGAAGATGTCACTGGCACTCAGGGCGGCCCCTGGGTGACAGGATGCAGCTCTGCTCGGCCCCCTCGGCCCACCCAGGCCCGCTCCAGATCACCAACAGCTTCGTCTCAGCCACTTCCTCGCTAATGATATTTCCCAGGCAGCTGCTTTTGTGCTAATGTCATTTTGCCAAGGAAAACTGACAGTTTCGAGTCCTGTACCTGAGCTATACTTGGGAGAGGCAAGGATGGAGCTGATGAGCCTTCAGGATCAAGTTCTCTTTTCTGGTTGCTCATTCTCACCAGAGGATATTTTTTCCCTTTGGTTTTTAGAGAGAGAGAAAAACATCTATGTGACAGCAACACACCGATGATTGGTTGCCTCCCAACCGGGCAGGGGTTGAACCTCCAATCCGGGTATGTGCCCTTGACCGGAAATCGAACTCGAAACCCTTTGGTTCATGGGCCATCACTCTAACCATTGAGCATACTGGCCGGGCTCGATCAGGTTCTCTGAGGTCAGCTGCCGTCCTGGTGGAAGCTGGACCAGCCATTGCCTTGGGAATGAAGCCAAGAGAGACCCAGCCTCCGGGTCTGCGTGTGCTGGAAGGAGTCTTACAGGGGTGGTGTTCCTGAGCGCAGGTGCCAGCTAGACCCCGCCCAGCGTACACAGCTCCCAGACGGGCTCCGCCCACCTCCGGTCCTGCTGGGGAAGACTCCCCTTGAATAAGAACAGGATCCTAAAGTCTCCCAGGGACAGAGCTTGAGGGTTCAAGGCCTTTGACCCGTCGGTCTGTAATCTCAGAGGCTTCGTGTACCAGCCGGTACCCCGCCCGCCCACTGTCTCTGTCAGCCCTAGGGAGCCGTGACGCTGCAGCGAGCAGTAGCCAAGGCAGAAAATAAAGACAGAGAATGAAGGAGGAAACTGCATCTTCTTAGAACATTGGAGAAGGGAGTGAGCGCTTCATGGAACATTATCTGGAGAGTCGCGGTGGGCTCCAGAGAAAACCCTGTCCCCCAGTGGCTCCATGAAATCCAGGAAAATAAACCTCAGCACACACAGCCCCCCTCTTCTGCAACTTTTCACCCCCTCTTGGGGACGTCCTCTCTCCCTTCTCCTAATTAGACCCTGCCTTGGGGAAGCAGCGGATGAAATGATGAAAGCGTTTCCATTAGCTGTAAATGACCAACCAGGTGTCTGTGTAAGCACCTCCCAGAGGGCTTTGCCTGTTTGAGGAGGCAAAGCCTGCTTTCTGTTGCCTTGGAGCAAAAAAATAAAAATAAACCAAGTATAGGAGGAACTTGTCTTCTATAGAGGCTTCTCCTCAGTCCCTGAAATTTTACTGTCTGGGCAAGGAGCATTATCTCAGGAGAATGGTAGTGTTTACCACTGGGTCGGGGAAGGGCACCGCATCCTAAAGCCCCTGTTCTGAAGCAGTCGGGCAGTGTCCTGTGCAGAGGCCTGGGAGTGGACAGACCTCCCATGTGCATGTGCAAGGTCACCCTCAATGCAGCGGAGTTAGCAAGCGCCCTGCACGTCAGGGCTCTCCTGGGCCCTGCAAGAGTGACAACCAGGGGAGCTGTGGTCTGTGCCCTGAAGGAGCTCGCCGTATGGCAGGAACATACACTCAGACGAGGCACTTGTAAGGCCAACCGACAAGGGTACCAGCAGCCGACACGTGTTAGGCATCTGTTACAGTGAGTGGCGCCTTGGGCCCTGAAGGTGAAAAGAGGAATCCACAGGCACCCAGCACCTTGACCTCGGAGAGCAAAGCAGGCACAACAGGTCTGATGCAGACCTAGGGTCAGGGCCAGGAGGGATGTGAGGGAGAAGCCACTGGGGACTGATGCTGGCTTAGCAAGTGGGAGGCAGCAGGATGGAGCCGGAAGGGAACTTGAGAAGACCCTGGGTGTTGCTAAACCTAGAAAACAAAAAGACAGGCAAGCAACAGAGCCCCGGGGTCAGAGTGTTCAGGAAAGACAAGCAGGGAAGGAGAGCTTCCCCCACCCCCGTCCGGTTGAGGAGGGCACTGAACTGGGGTGGGAGGGAAGAATCCTAACCTGACAGCACTGGGAGTCCAGTTCAGCCTGTGTCTCGCAGAGTGACTGGTCAGAGTGGACAAGTTTGAGACACTGAGGCTGCACCGTGTCTCAGAATTGCTCTCCATCTTTTATGCTCAGGCTCCCAGGCCTTTCCTTGCCCGGGGTTGCATGGGGCTCATCCTTTACCTCCACTTTAGCTTATAGGAGACATTGCAGAGAGCGGCTGCGGTCAGTCACCCCCTCTGCGGCCCAAGCCAGGGCCAGCTCTTGTAGGAATGGGCAGCAGGCTGGCCAGCTCCCACCCTAGAGAAGGCTGGTTGGCCTTGGCCTTGATCCACGTCCACTCACATTCTCCACCTCCTTCCCCGAAGCCCAGGAGTGTTCCCACAGGCTCCACAGTCAGCAAGTCACCATCCTGCCTTTGAGGACAGACAGCATGACACCTCTTGAGCAGAGAGCAGAGAGGACCTCCCTGGGGGGTGGGGGCGAGTCAGTGCTGCAGGCGCTCCACAGAATTCCTCACCCACCCACGCCCAGGCTCATCTGCCTCCCCAGCCAGAATGAGCCTCCAAAGAACCTGGCACCCTGGTCTCACTCTTTTCCTCCCCATCAGGCACCCAGCTGGAGAAGCTAATGGAGAACATGCGAAATGACATCGCCAGCCACCCTCCTGTCGAGGGCTCCTACGCCCCGCGCCGGGGAGAATTCTGCATTGCCAAATTTGTGGATGGAGAATGGTAAGCCACTCGGGCCCAAGCAGGGCAGCAGGAGCCGGGGCCGGTCTGTCCTCAGGCCACCGGCTAGACCAGGCATTTGCCTCTGCAGCCTGGTGTCCACTGGGGTGTTGTTGACCTTGGCCGCCTCCCCAGGGTAGCCCTCTATATTGCCCAGAGCCCATGTGGGCCTTGATTCTCCTGCAGTCCAGCCAGCCTCCGGACTACAGAAGTGTGCTCCTCTCTCCCCTCACTCTGTTGGGGGAGTCCTGCCTGCCTGGGTCTCGAACACACCCGTCACCCCATTCAGGAAAAGTGATGTCTCAGTGAGCCCAGGCCAGCCACCCCGCCTCCACCCCAACTGTCTGGGACATGAGCAGCAGCAGCCTTGCCCACAGGCAGCAAGGTCACTTACGTC